AGAGACCGCTCTTCCTGTTGTGACCAACCCTAAGCTGGGAGGCAAAGGTACTCTAAGAATACAGGGAAGGTGAAGCTGCTATAGTGAATAGAGTGGCTAAAAAGACAGGATAACATGGGAATCTTTTAAAACAGGAAAGTCAAAGTGCTTTGACTATTGTGTACTTTTAAAATATTCATTCATTCAACAGTTATTTACTGAGTGCCTTCACTAAGGGATGAGGAAATGAGGAACTCCATTTCTGCCCATAAGAAGTTTACAGTAGGAAATCCAGTAAACCCCTAGAGCGGGGAATAAAATAGCTGCCATTTCTTGAAATTTACTGTGAGCCAGGAATGTTAGTGCTCTATGTATTACCTCATTTAATACAACTAATTGCCTTGAAGGTAGGTTATCTAATAATGAGGAAATTATAATCAGAGAGGCAAAGAAATTTGTCCAAAGTTACACATGTAGTAAATACAAGAGTCATAATTGAAATTCAGGTCTGCCTTCACTGTAAAGGTCATATTCTAATATGACCATGCTAATACAGTGAGAGTAAGCTATTCAATGAATGGATATATATTGAGTAACTTTCTGCTCCAGACATTGTTCTAGTGATGTGAAAGTGAAAAAAAAAAAGTCCCCTCTTTCCTGCTGGTCCAGTCCCCTTGCAATTCAGGGGACTTGGGTTCGATCCCTGGTTGGGTAAGTAGGATCCCACATGCTTCAGGGCAATGGGAACCTTGAGCTCTATGTCATGGCTTATGCACAGGTTGGAAAAGAATTTTCACACATGAGGCAAAATGAAAGGAGAATAAAATTTATTAGAGTGGGAGATGCTATTCTAACAGTGGTCCAGCTCAAGAGAGAGCCTACCCTTTCATGAGCTAGTAGCCAATTTTTATAATCTTAAAACAGAAAATTCCTACCGGAATGGTGGCATTAGGTGATTGGCTAGGCTGCTATTGGGTGGGTAATAGGGTGAGTATTTTACCTAATTAGGGCCAGGGAACTGGCGGTTTAGATCCACAGACTCATGGCAACAGTTGCTATGGGGCTCAGTCAGTTCCAGAGATTTTTGTCCTGTGACTTTGGCACAGGGCTCCACACTCTAGAGACCATGCTTCACAACAAGAACAAGAGAAGGGGCACAACAAGAGAAGCCAGCACACCACAACGAAGATGCAGTGCAGTCAAAATAAAACGATTTTGTTAAATATCCTGTCTTGTGGGACTAAATTCTACTAGAGAAAGACAATAAACAAAACAAATATTTGGTACATCAGGTGGCCCTTCCCTGGTGGTTCAATGGTAAAGAATCCACCAGCCAATGCAGGAGACTTGGGTTTGATTCCCAGGCTGGGAATATCCCCTGGAGAAGGAAATGGCTACCCATTCCAGTGTCAACTACAAATTGACACTTGCCAAGAGCACTGCCAGCAACCAAACAGCAGGGGCATTTGCCATCTGCCTCTGTGGAAACTGAGGCTTCCCGGATAGCTCAGTTGGTAAAGGATCTGCCTGTAATGCAGGAGACCCCAGTTTGGTTCCTGGGTTGGGAAGATCCCCTGGAGAAGGGACAGGCTACCCCCTCCAGTATTCTTGGGCTTCCCTGTGGCTCAGCTGGTAAAGAATCCACCTGCAATGTGGGAGACCTGGATTCAATCCCTGGGTTGGGAAGATCCCCTAGAGAAGGGAAAGGCTACCCACTCCAGTATTCTGGCCTGGAGAATTCCATGCACTGTATAGTCCATGGGGTCTCAAAGAGTTGGACACGACTGACGACTTTCACTTTCTGTGGAGATTGAACCCTGTGCTGCTGCAGCTGTTGACCTTCAACACCCCCTGAAGGAGTTCAGGGTGGAGTGAGGCACTCTGTGCTCCAGGGAATCTATCTGAGGGGACAGGTCTTTAGACAGTTGGGTATTTTCAGGAACTGATTTCATGATTCCAATCCTTGCATATCCTCATATCTAGAAAAGCACTAAATCCCTTTGTGATGACATCAGATCCTTGTGACTAGTAGAAAACCTCTTGTAAAGTAACTGCTTGATTGCACTGAACTCCCCCTTCACTGAAATCTTATATAATGACCTTCCTTGACTGCCTCTTCCCATCACTTCATGGCAAATAGATGGAGAAACAGTGGAAACAGTGGCAGACTTTATTTTTGGGGGCTCCAAAATCACTGCAGATGGTGACTGCAGCCATGAAATTAAAAGACACTTACTCCTTGGAAGAAAAGTTATGACCAACCTAGACAACATATTAAAAAGCAGAGACATTACTTTGCCAACGAAGGTCCATCTAGTCAAGGCTATGGTTTTCCAGTAGTCATGTATGGATGTGAGAGTTGGGCTATAAAGAAAGCTGAGCACTGAAGAACTGATGCTTTTGAACTGTGGTTGGAAAAGACTCTTGAGAGTCCCTTGGACTGCAAGGAGATCAAACCAGTCCATCCTAAAGGAACTCAGTCCTGGGTGTTCATTGGAAGGACTGATGCTGAAGCTGAAACTCCAATACTTTGGGCCACCTGATGTGAAGAGCTGACTCATTGGAAAAGACCCTGATGCTGGGAAAGATTTAAGGTGGGAGGAGAAGGGGACAACAGAGGATGAGATGGTTGGATGGCATCACCAACTCAATGGACATGCATTTGAGTAAATTCCAGGAGCTGATGATGGACAGGGAGGCCTGGCGTGCTGCAGTCCACGGGGTCGCAAAGAATCAGACATGACTGAGCAACTGAACTGAACTGAACTGACTGCCTCTTTGGAGCTATCTCTCAGAGCTATCTGAGGTGCTGCCTCCTGGGCTGCAGTCCTCATTTTGCCCCAAATAAAACTTAACTCGAAGCTCTCAAGTTGTGCATCTTTTTTAGTCGACACCAGTATTCTTGTCTGGGAAATCCCATGGACAGAGGGGTTTTCGGGCTATAGTCTATGGGGTCACAAAAGAGTCAGATATGACTTAGCAACTAAACAACAACATGTCAAGTGCTACATGATATGAAGACAAAGTAGGCAGGATAAGAAAGATGTGGAAAGGAAGATAGCTTATTTAAATAAAGTCATCTGGGAAGGTTCTGATACTCTGAAGTAAGTGCAGGAACAGGATCTAGAACTGGTATAAAGAAGAGCCTTCTCAGTTACAGAAGATGGACCATTACTCTTCTGCTTCCTGTAAGAATACGGGAGTAAAATCTGAGGGTCAAATGAAACAGGAGGGAAGGGGGCAGGGCACAACCTTTGAAAGAATGACATAGCCCGAGGACACAACATAAACTGATTAGAATCAAATGGGCCTAAGATGGCAGACAAGTCAACTTAGACTAGAACTTGATCCTCAGTATATGCTCATTGTAATACATCAGCAAGGTAAATGACACACCCAGAAGTGCCATGACAGTTCCAAGCCAACAATCAAAGACCAAAAAGTGGGCAGTGGCCCAATTCCTGGAAATCTCCAGCCCCACCACCCCCCACCAAAATAGTTGGAATAATCCTCCCTCGTTGTTGTTCAGTTGCTCTGCAGCACGCCAGGTTTCCCTCTACCTTCACCATCTTCCGAAGTTGCTCAAACTCATGTCCATTGAGTTGGTGATGCCATCCAGCCATCTCGTCCTCTGTCCCCCTTCTCCTCCTGCCTTCAATCTTTCCCAGCATCAGGCTCTTTTCCAATGAGTCAGCTCTTCACATCAGGTGGCCAAAGTAGTGGCGTTTCAGCTCCAGCATTAGTCCTTCCCTGAATATTCAGGATTTGTGTCTTTTAGGATTGACTGGTTTGATCTCCTTGCAGTCCGGTGGACTCTCAAGAGTCTTCTCTAACACCACAGTTCAAAAGCATCAATTCTTCAGTGTTCAGCCTTCTTTAATGTCCAGCTCTCACATCCATACATGACTACTGGAAAAACCATAGCTTTGACAATTTGTATCTTTGTTGGCAAAGTGATGTCTCTGCCTTTTAATACGCTGTCTAGGTTTATCACATCTTTTCTCATTAGCCTGTGAAATAACCCAGCCTATAAAAACTAACCACACTGCATTTCAAGACTACTCATACCCTCTGCGACAGTCCACACTCTAGTCTGTGGAGTGTGTTTCTCCCAAGGCTGCTCTTGATTCTGAGAAGGCTGGAGCTCTGTGGAGTGTGCTTCTCTCTAAAAAATCCACTTCTCACCTAGAAAAAAAAGCACTTCATCATTCGCCTGCTCATGGGTTCAATCTGGAGAAATGAGGGCAGGATGGGGGTGCAAGTATCAAAAAGGCGATGGCTTGGAGTTGAAGGCTTCAGCTTTATTTATTGATTTATTGACAAATTCTTTTATTTTTGAGCCTAAATTCCCCTCCCTGTACACAGGAGTAATAGTCCTAGCACAGCTTCTCTTATGTGGCTGCCACAAGGATGAGAAAGATAGAACATATGAAAGCACCTTAAATATAGGGCAAGTGGGAAAGCAAGATTAGGCATAACTTTTTAACAGAAAGGATGTCGGTGTACAAAAAACAAAGAGAGAGAAAAGAAAAGGAATTCCTATTTCAGGTGCACCAGTTACCCTAGCTATCTTTGTGAAAAGCAGTCCCAGGCTAAAAGAAGCAAAATTTTCATGACTGGCCTCTGCTGAAGAGTCCCGTTTAATTTACAAAACTCAGAAATTGCATCTCAAGTTTTAGCTAAACTTGGAAGAAGACTCTGGGATTCCAAACTTAACTCTAATGGCCTGGCCCCTGCCAGGTGTTTCTCTTCTTGCCACGCCCCCATGTCCAAACTCCATTTCCCAATACGCCCCAGGATCCTGTAAGTCTGCAGTCATTATGACGCAAGTTCCACAGCCTTCTGGGAAATGTAGTTTATTTCCTCCCCCAGCTACGTCAAGATCTAGGGTTAGGGACTACCACTCCCGTGAGGCGGTGCGTAATTCCACTCCGCGGCGTCTTCGAACGCGCCGCGGCAGCCATGTTGGAAGTGGTCAGCACAGGGGCCGGCACCAGGGGGTTATCGAAGCAGCTGTCACGATGCTGGGGTCCCTGGTGTCGAAGAGAACAGCGCCGGCGCCGCGGCTCCTTCTCCAGCTGCTTAGGTCCCCATCGCTCCGGAGCCACGAAAGTGCCACCGGCCAGAGTGTGACCACCGGGGGCCGCGGGGAGCCTCAGTGGCTGAGGGCGGCCGTCGGGGGGCGCCATGGAACGTCGCCGGCCCTACTCACCAGAGGAGGGGCAGCCTCTGGAGGGCGCCAGAGAGGATGTACCGAGACCCCCTGCTTTGCAGCTGCCACCTGGGGACGCCTTCCCAGCCCCGAAGACACACTGCCTGGGCAGGACAGCTGGAATGGAGTCCTCAGCAGAGCCGGATTGGGCGTGTGGGCCCTGGCCACGGCGCTCGTGGTTCATTGTTACAGCAAGAGCCCGTCCAGCAAGGGTGATTATCGGGACAGTCTGGTTTTGTGCAAGTGAGAGGCGGGAGGAGGGTCCTGAGTCCATGTGGTTGGAGGATAGGAGCTGCTTATAGATTAAGACCACTAGAGCTTCAGTCCTGGTGGGACCCAGACATAATTTGGTCATAGAGCAGGCTGAGGAGTTCAATGCCTCTGAATTGTGTAATTTCTCAAATTATGCAACTGTTAGTGTATTAGAATAATAATTGCATGTGTGCCTAGTCGCTTCAGTCCTGTCCAACTCTTTGGGACCCTGTGGAGAGTAGCCTGCCAGGCTCCTCTGTCCATGGGATTCTCCAGGCAAGACTACTGGAGTGGGTTGCCATGCCCTCCTCTAGGGGGTCTTCCCTACTGAGGGATCAAACCTGTGTCTTCTATGTCTCCTGCATTGGCATGTGGGTTCTTTACCACTGGCACCACCTAGGAAACCCATAATAATAATTATTGTATGATAATAATACAGTTATTAAAGGTCAGCCTCCCTTCTTGGAATATCACCCTATCCATCTGTACAATGGGAGCTTTGGACTAAACATCTGAAATTAGCATGTGGCCTATTTCTCTACCATTCTACCTGGTTCAGTTCCTCTTTTAAGAGGTCCCCAGGAAACCTCCTGTTTGGCTTCCCATGTGGTGCAGTGGTAAAGAATCCACCTGCCAATGCAGGAGGCACAAGAGATGCAAGAGATGTGGGTTTGATCCCTGGTCTGGGAAAATCCCCTGGAGTAGAGAATGGCAGCCATCTTCTGTATTCTTGCCTGAAAAAAATTCCATGGACAGAAGAGCCTGGCAGGCTACAGTCCTTGGGGTCCATGGCCTAAGAAGGGAAGAGGAGACTTGGTTTCAGTGCCAGCTTTGGCTCTGCTTGCTCCTCTCTAGATTGTTTCCCCACAGGTGGAGGATGATTTCTCAGTACTCTTACAGTGCTGTTATTCTGATTCCTTTTGAAGTTCAGCAGTGTGGGTGTGTTCATCAGGGAGACTCCTAGGGTTCTGCTGTGCCTGGCCTCAGGCATGAGGTGATCTTGCTATGTAGGGAATTTGGCAGGACAAGAAATACAGGGAGCTGGCTCTTTAGAGAACCAGAGCAACCACGGGGGCTGGCTGACCCAGATTGGCATCACCCCTGGGTGCATGGAGCCGAGCAGGGACTGGGAGAGCAGGCAGAGAGCTAGACTTCTAGCCTACGTGAGTCCAGCTACTCAGGTTCTCAGCTCTTCCTCAAAGAGAAGAGTGAGGCATGGTGTTTCAAGATTCCATGCATCCCAAGCTCTGAGACTTTGGACCAAGAGGAGGGACACCCTTGATGTTCATTTGTTTATTCAGCAGGATGTGGCCAGCTGTATAGAAGGGCCTCGGCAGGGAGTAAGGTCACTTGGGGTCTTGTTTTGTTCTACCTTTAATTCCCACGTGACTTTGGACTTTTGCTCTTCCTCATGGTCCTGTTTCCTCATCTCTAAATGAGGGTGTTGAAACAGAACTCCTAAGGGTTCTTCTAGCTTAGGCACACTATGATTCTATTACTTCCACACCCACAGAGGTACCCTCTGTGGGCCTACTTTAAAGCTTGATGTGGAACTCCTGACTTAACACAATGCCAATTAAGGGGATGGTGCGGGCCATTAGGCATGTGCATCTGGCGAGTCATCTGACAGCGTGTTTTGGGGGATCAGAAGGCCAGCATGGTCAGGAAAGCCTTCCTGAATGATTGGAAACCTTCCTTGAGGATGGGGAATTTGAATTTGAGTTCTGAAGGATAAGGCAAGAGATGAAAAGGAGAGTGATACTGTGAGTTCCTTGAGAGCAGGGAGTGCATCTTGATACTTTCAGGTTGATGCCGGTTCCTTTCCCTAATATTTTTGCATTGTCCGTCATAGTCCCTGGTACTTAGTGTAGGTACTTAGTAAATGTTCCTCAAGATGGTTTGTATTCTACGCAAATGTTTCCAGGAACGAAGCGCAGGTCAGCATAGTATGTATAGAGGCTAGCAGTTTGTCCAGCCTGGTTGGAGGAGAGGAGGTCTTTCAAATGAGGTGAGAGCAGATGGAGTAGGGTCTGGATATCAGGCACAAGGGTTTGGAAGGTTTGAAATTCTCCTATAAGTGATGGAAAGCCATGGAAAATTGATGAGCAGGGAATGTCTCAAGGCCAGCAGGTTTAGACAGATGGGGAGAAGGTGTCCAAAGTCTTGCTTCAGAATTTTTGGGGGGCTCCAGATTGGACTCTGTGGCATGTGAACCCCATCAAAAGACACTGGGGTCTTTTTACCAAAATACATGACGTTTACCAAACCATAACGAGTCCCAATGCTTCTGACTTGCCAGTTCCCTTGTCTCCTGACTTGAGAGTTGTAAGCCAAGGCCCTCAGTGTAGCATAATCAGTATTGCCCTTTAGGAGCCAGGGGACCCCTGTTCTAATCTTGGTCATTCCTCATTCCCTCTGGGACCTTGCAGAAGCTGCTACTTTTTAAAAGAGTGAGGGGAGAGAGAATACAGCAGTATCTGAGGAAGGCTTGTTCCCCTTCCAGCTGGGGGCTGCCCAAGCATGCCTGGGTGTGTGCTGGGGAAACAGCTGGGGAACCGAGGAAGACCTAGCCCTGGAGCCTAGGCCTGGAGGCGCCGTGGAGGCCTGTGCGTCGGTCTGAACCACAGGACTGGTTTGCATATGTCTGATAAGGTGGATATTGTACACAGGAGGTTAGGTGAGTGATCCAGGTAATATAGCAAGTGGCAGAGTTAGGACCAGACCCAGGTCTGCTATTCCACCCTCCCCCAGTGCTTCCTCTCTGTTTCACGTGGTGACTCTCTTGGCTGGACTGAGAGCTCCCTGAGACAGGGCTGGGTCTCAGTCAGTCTGGTGCCCATCACTGGAGCTCAGGACCAGCTGAGCTCAGAGTGTTGCAGCCGCGGGGAGAATGTGCCTCTGCTGTTGACAGCTTTTCCTCATGGCCACAAGGTGGTGCCAACAGCCCGCACGCTGCCCAGGCCAGGCCAAGCTTGCCATCGCTTTTCTACTAGGCCTGGTGATTCCTAAGGGATTGATTGGAATCCTCTACTTTGGTTCTTCCTTCGTTGGGTTTGGCACTGGGATGTTTGCAGGTTTTTCAACCGTTATTTCTTTAGCATCCTTGTAAGGCTGTCAGGGCAGGGATTAGTGCCTCTGCTTTATAGTCAAGGAAGTTGGCATTGAGCGGGGAAAGGCTGCCACAGCACATGGTGAATAGTATACAGGGTGTGGTGGAACCTGGCTCCTGGTCAAGGCTCTCTCCACTCTCGGAGGGGTCCACAGCCCTGCCTCCTCTTCGTTATCCTGTCCTGCTAGGTTTGTGACCTGTAACATCAAGATTTAAAACTAGGCTGAGAAACTGAAGTTGGAAGAGAAAGTGGGGCAAGGTAGGGGGATAATTAATACTGTGTGATAGTTACATAAACCTGCAGAGCTTTATAGCTGTTGAAGGGTGAAGGCGTTCACACGCTGAGTGTTTACTGTAGGCCACACGTGGTACTAACACATTCCTTGAATCACCTGTGTGGTAAGAGTTCTGAGTCTGGGCTCTAATAGAAAGATGTGGAAGACAAGTTGTTAACAGGCTTTCACGTGGGCAGGGGAGGACTAGCTTTCTCTTTGTATATCTTGGCATCTTTTCACTTGTTAAAGCCCATGTATCCGAAGTGCCTTCACTTCCACTGTCTTTCTGGGCCCTTCGGAAGCTCTGAGGGTTAGGTCCTGGCCAGGGATCTGATTGGTGCCCCTCTCTCTTCAGATGCAGCCCTGATGGAAGCTGCTCGAGCCAACAATGTCCAAGAAGTCAGCAGGTGAGTATCAGACCCCAGGCCTTGCTCTCTCGTGCAGGAGGCCTGAGTGGAGTGGGGCCCTTGCTCTGGTGGTAACTGCCTGGGAGGAAATCCTCACACTGAGCTGGGAACCAAACCCTGTGACTTCCTTGTAGTCAGTGAGTCACTTGGGCTCCTTTGGCCCAGGTCAGCCCTTAGATATCTTAAGGTAGAGAGTCAGCCCCTGTGTCTTTTTTTCTGGCCCCAGACAGCCCTGATCCCTCAGTTGTTTTGTCCTTCTCAGGGCATGGTTTGGGATCCCTCCTACATCTTGTGGGTTCCTCGGTGAATCTTCCACTTTGTTCTTGTTTCTCTGTGGGATTGGCCATGGGTAATTGCTTATTGACTGGATGGAGTGCGGGTGGGCAACAGTGGAGACACTGGGAGATTTGGGAGGGAGCTGGAAGAGATCCTTCTGCCAGAGCCACCTGCCTGCAGGGCTGGGTGCCCATGCTGGGTGCCTGCCCGGGGGCTGACTGCATTTCTCCAGCTTCCCTAGCTCATCTGTTCTCCTAGCGACCACTGGTCAGTTAGATTGGAGGCTTGTTCCTGCACAGGGACAGGACTTGATCCAGGCCTCAGCCGGGTGCTGGGGCAGAATAGAGTCTGTCCTGGATGGATGCTCTGACATGGGGCTATTTATTAGGGGCAGAGGCTTCATCCTTAATGAAACTTGGTGCACAGCATTAGGCCGAACTTTGGCCTTTTTTTTTTTTTTACTGCCTTTTGTGTAGAGCTAGGTGGCCATGGGACACCCTCCCTTCCCTGCCACCATGTCCACATTTTAAACAGGAAATTAGGTGACTGGAATGGCTATCACTGCACCCAGCGCCACACACCCATGGTGCTCTTCCCCACTCCAGCTGCCTGAATGTGCAAGAAAGTGTTGAAAGGCAGTCACAACTCACAACCCCCATCAAGACTTACTGCTTTGATTCCCTTTCATTTTATCTGCCTTATTATTATTGACTCTCAAGGGTGCTTTTGAGTATTAATGTTCAAGGCTTAGTTTTTAATAAACCACTTTTGGAAGTATGGGCTGGGAATTGTTTCGTAGCCAAATAAATATGATGGAGCAGTGGTTTAATAAACATGTGATGATGCATCTTAAAAACCAAGCACAGATGTCAGCTTGCTGTTATAAGAGCCATTCATAACTGCAGGCAGGGTATGGCATATTCATTCCCTCAGAAACAGATGAGCCTCGTTTCCTTCTGCTGCAGTACGGTGGCATGACGGGGTAGCAGCTGGCTGTGCCCTCATTTAAGGCCTTTGCTGACCCTTTAGTCACCTGTTGATGACTGCTAGGTGACTGCTGCCAGACTCCTGCTTTCCTCTGGCAAGCCAGGATAAGCCATGCATGTGCAGAGCAGCAGGGCTGTGAAAGCACCTGTTCCTTACTAGGGGAGGCTGAGTTTTGTTCAGTCACTCAGTCGTGTTTGACTCTTTGCGAACCCATGGACTGCAGCACACCAGGTTTCCTGTTGTTAGTATCTCCCAGAGTTTGCTCAAACTCATATCCATTGAGTTGGTGATGCCATCCAACCATCTCATCCTCTGTTGTCCCCTTCTCTTCCTGCCTTCAGTCTTTCTCAGCATCAGGGTCTTTTCCAGTGAGTCAGCTCTTTTCATCAGGTGGCCAAAGTATTGGCGCTTCAGCATCAGTCCTTCCAATGAATATTCAGGGTTAATTTCCTTTAGGATTCAGTGGTTTGATTTCCTTGCAGTCCAAGGGACTCTGAAGAGTCTTCTCTGGCACTGCAGTTTAAAAGCATCAATTCTTTGGCACTCAGCCTTCTTTATAGTCCAACTCTCACATCTTTACATGACTACTGGAAGAACCATACCTTTGACTATATGCACCTTTGTCAGCAAAGTAATGTCTCTGTATGTTGTCTAGATTTGTCATAGCTTTTCTTCAAGGAGCAAGCGTCTTTTGATTTTGTGGCTGTGGTCACCAGCTGAGGTGATTTTGAAGCCCAAGAAAATAAAGTCTGTCACTGTTTCCATTGTTTCCCCATCTATTTGAAGTGATGGGATTGGATGCCATGATCTTCAATTTCTGAATGTTGACTTTTAAGGCAACTTTTTCACTCTTTCACCTTCATCAAGAGGCTCTTTAGTTCTTCACTTTCTGCATATCTGAGGTTATTGATATTTCTTCCTGCAATCTTGATTCCAGCTTGTGCTTCATCCAGTCTGGCATTTTGCATGATGTACTCTGCATAGAAATTAAATATTCAGGGGGACAATGTACAGCCTTGACGTATTCCTTTCCTGTTTCACTTAGCCTCCAAGGGCTGATTGATTTAGCTCTTTCAAATACACGTTTTTCTTAATAACAATTAAACCTCCCACCCCCAAATTACAGAAAATGATTGAATTTATGGTATGTGTGTGGTTCAGAACATTTGTTCTTGCCTTTGTGACTAGTGTCTGCAAGGATTTCCCTGTGTGTCCCCAGTCTCTAACCCGCATTTCTCCTGCCTCCTCTTGTCCTATCTCTCTCGATCATGAAGACTCAGTCAGAATCTCCCTTCACCCCTTGTGAGGGAGGCAGAGATGAGCAAGGCACAGACCCAGCCCCTCAGGACTGACAGTCTCCCCTTACCTTCATCATGTGGTCTCAAACAAACATGTGACCTGCCAATCACAGCTCTTCCTTCTCAGAGAGCTGTTCCTACAGGAAGGAGTAGGGGGAGCCTGACCACCCTTGCTTGAAGGAAACTTCCTTGAATTCCTACCATAGGTCCTTGTTTATTTAGGCTTTTTACACCCTAGACTCTGCACAGGTGCTTAACACTACCGTTAATTTCTTCCCATCTGTGTCCTGGCCTTTAGCTCTGCCCAACGGAGCTGCTAATACCAGGATAGAATCCCATTCTCAATTTAAAAAAATATTTACTCATAGTTTATACACAGTTGGGTCATCATGTGTATGATCTGTGTGGTCAAATCAGTATTTGGAATAAAACTCAAACCTGGAGTAATGCTGTCTCTCCCCTCCTTTTCTCCTGTCCCTCTCTGGGTTCTGGGCTGTGTATGCCTCTGCATTGATGACCCCCTACCTTCCTAGAGCCTTGGGAGAGCTCTTGATAGTTAAGGGAAGCAGTCCAAAGCTCTTCTGTTCAGAGGTGGGGCATTTCACCATCTTCTTTAAGGATACTCTCAAGTCTGCAGTTTCTGGGTTCTAGGTGTGGGCCCTCCTCACAGACTGCTGTGTGTACACTGTGCTCCTTACACCTTTTCTTAAAGCCTCCCAGCCTCCGCTCAAGTACTGCAGACTCCTCCTAGCTGAACGTGATCTGCCCTTTGGCCTGCACCTTCTGCTGGCCTGGGGTAGGGGCGGGGGAAGGGGTTGGTGGTCAGGTCATCTAGGAAGAGCCGTGCCAGCTGTGCAGAAGACTCCTTTGCTGGAAAAGAAGTTGGAGGTCAGGTGGGAGAAGCTGGGCTGAACATCAGAACTGAGGAGGCACCCAGCCCATGAACAGGAAAACCAGCGTGGTTCACACATTACACAAATCAGAAACAGATGAGGGATCCTCAGGCAGTGTGAGATGATCAGACCAACAGCTCTGAAGTGTGGGCACCGTTACCTGTTTTACGTGGAGCTGGCTAACCATTCATGGTGTGGGCCTGCCTGGCTAAAGGCACAGGGAAGGTTCTGCCACTCACCATGTTCTTTATATTAAGAAGGGCTGGGCTGGCCTTCACCTTAAACCACTGGATTGTGTGCCTCCCCATGGCAGGGACAAGGTCTGGTTCCACACATGTCTTATCCTCTTTTCCAGTACAGTGAAAGTTGGGGAAAGCTACTTTTTTTTACTGACTTTCCAGCAAACCAGAAGCAGGCAGTCCAGAGTCTTATTTTCAAACTCCAGCTGGCTATGTCAGAAGGAGACTGAATCCCTTTTCCTTCCTGTCGTCCTCTCCTTTCTCTCTGTGTGGCAGCTGTTTCCTTCTTCCCCCAAGGCACTTAAACATTGTTTGCAAGTGCAGCTCTGGCTCTTCAGGAGTGGAATCCTGGTTCTGAGGCCCCTATCCCACCTGTCAGCAGCATGAGCAGGTGGCCCTGCTCCTGGGCTCAGCCCACACCCAAGCATGGCTCCTGGACTCAGGAACCACTCAACTGAAACCTAGGGCACAGGGCAGTCTGAAGGCACATCTGTCCAGGATCAGACAGAGCCAAGTGAGGAGCTGTTGCGGCTGGGAGAAGTGAGGCCTCCTGTTCTCACCACAGAGATCACATTTCTTTTCTAACAAATTTGGGTGAAAGACTATACCCCTACCCACTGCCCTTCTCCCAGCAGGGAGCTAAGCCTCTGCTGAGTGCTTAAGTCAAGTTGTTTCCATCGGCACAAGCATTTTTTAAATGAAGGAAGTATGATGGTATCAGTCTTGAACTTCAGACTGCCTGCTCTTTCTCTCCAGGATTCATTTGTTCGTTTGATGAAAGCTTATTGAGCACCTGCCTCATGCTGGGTGGTTTACTTGGCATCGGGGACAAATGACCAGGCATGCTTCTTGCCCTCAGTTAAGGAGTCTGGGGAAGACAGTGGTAATGCAGCATGATCTGTGCTGAGACAGTAGGGCTTCCCTGGTGGCTCTGATGATGAGTCCACCTGCGGTGCAGGAGACCCAGGTTCAGTTCCTGGTTGGGAAGATCCCCTGGAGAAGGGAGTGGCTGCCCTCTCCAGCATTCTTGCCTGGAGGATTCATGGACAGACACCATGCTTTCCAGCCACTATGTAGGTCCTTAGGTTGTCTCCACTCATAGTGCTGAGACAGGAGCCCAGCATGTGGGCCTCATCTACCGGACGGACCAGAGGAAATGACGCCTGATCAGAGTCTTAAAGTATTAGGAGTGTTTAGCAAATAGAAAGCGAAGGCATTCTAGGCAAAAGGAACAGTGTAAGTGATAGTGCTGAGGCAAGAAAGAGCCCGAGTGTGTGGTGAGGAGGGCGAGCTGTGTACTCTTACAC